CGGGGCGGGGGGGGGAAAAGCCTTCTCTGGCAGCGCTCAGCCGGCCGGGCTGACAGTCACGGCCTTTCTGGTGCTCTGTCACTGCCTCATAGACAAGAGGCTTCTTTGTGGGGGTTGTTTTTTAAGGTGACTGTGCGAAATCATACGTAAAAGGTTGACTGCCGTTAACAGCCGAAGGTGGTGTTGGAAGAGGATGTGTTTTCAGCCTGAGCTATTCAAGAGGAGCGTTAAGAGCTTTACTAACAGAGCCCGAGGTTCTGCAGTGCCTTGGCTTAATGTTTTGTGGCTGCATCTGTGGCTAGGCGTCCCTCCTGAGGGAAGAGGGAGAGAAAGCCCATATGGAAAATTAATGCGATCGGTGTAACTTGAATCTGCTTCGGTCCGTAGATGGGTACCAGGTGGTTGGGTCTGGACTGTTGCCCCCACAGCTCTCCATAGCTGCTTTGCTCGCATCTCTCAGAGTTTCTAGCTGAGAGAATTGAAGATTAACATGGAAATTCAGTAAACTCTTGTATCTTCTTAGTTCAAACCAGATCTTAGTATTTCAATGTGGTAAAAATCCCAATATTCCTACAGCTCCAGAGGCTAAAGTTCTCTACTTGTGAAGGAAAAGAAATATCAGTGGTGACACAAGTGCAGGGTAATTGGTGATGTAGATGGTTGCTTCATTTGAAGGATTTCCAGCATCTCCAACACAAAAGCATTGAAGGTTGGTTGGTGCTGCTGCCACCCTGTGACTCGCCTGGTGGTGGCCCAAATTGTGAGTCTATGCTAGCTCACCAGCTAGTTCGGCTGGAAGATGCAGTAATGCTGGGTTTTCTTTGCCACCAACTAGTGCAGAATCCACTGTCATGACATACAGCTGGAAAACTCCAGAGGTCGTTTCTGAGCTCCCCTGTTGTCTGCTTATCAAAGGACTTGTACAGATGATAAAAAGGGCCCCAAAGGAGCTAATTAAAGCTTATTTTTCCAAGGTGATTGTTTGTAGTGCTGCTTTGGGCTCAGAATCATTTGTACCTCTAACCCCTTTATTTTCATCTTCCCATTAAAAAAGAAAAGCGGCTCTTGGTAAGACATGTCGTGGATCAGAGAAGGCGAGCTGACCATCATAGAGAGATTTTGTGCCAACATCATTAAGGTAAGGAAGGAATTTGGTAGCCTGTGGTAAAGAATTGGTGTGTTCATCAGAGTTCAGAGGAACCATCTTTGTGACTGCTGTGCTCTAGAAAGATAGTGTTGCTAGCAAGGGTGCGTATTAATGCTGGCACTGGATGTACATCCCTAAACAGCATCCGGGGATGGAAAATTACTTAAGCTTAGTCTTGCAAATGAGTAAGGCTGTAGGCAGTGCTTGCCAATAATGAGCTTACACTCCCAGACTTCCATGGTTTGTGCCCTTGCTGATGAAGGCAGGGCATGGGAAGGAAGGACAGAAGCATGGTGGTCGGATTATGAATCTAAGAAATGAAACTGAGTTTCTCTTGATTAGAATAACTCACTAGTTCCAGGAAAATTCTGTCCTTGCTCAGCAGAGTCTTGAGACTGGTGATGCTGCCCTTCCCGCAAAAGGATCTGTGCAGACCTAATGAGATCAGTGGAAAGGAATACTCCTCTTAAGTACGAGAAAGTCTCATGACTTTTTTTGTTTTCTCTTCAGTTAATTGTGTCTGTGAAAATGCCCTTGAATTCTGAAATAATAAATACTTAACAATTATGGCAGCACAGAACTGTGTGCATCCTCCCCCATGCCTGCAGAGAGGTAGCTGTGGCAGTGCTGCGCTCTCCTGAGTACTACAGTTCTCTGTCATGTGATAGAAACAGGGAGGGCAAAGTTGCCTTTCAGTTTAGGCAACTGTCAATACTGATACGCTTTTTAGATAGCCTAAGCCGGGGTTAGCAAAAAGGTAATTAGCATTTTACTCTTTCCAGCTCCAGACTTGAAGCTGGGAGATACGCACTGCACTCCTACAAATAGGCGGTGCCGCCAGGAAGAGTGGCACTGCACTCTCTGTGATGCAAGATACCAACGTGGCTGTTTGGTTTCCGCTCTGTTGTGTTTCTCCTTATTTTCTAGGCAGGTCCAATGCCCAAGCATGTTGCCTTCATCATGGATGGCAATCGCCGTTATGCCCAAAAATGCCATGTGGAGAGACAGCAGGGGCATTCACAAGGCTTTGATAAGCTGGCACAGGTGGGAAGGATGTTTGCTGCCTTTACCTTGTGTGTTGAAAGTTTGAGCTGTGTTCACCAGCTGACGGTGTTTACTGCTTGAGTGGAGTATTGTTCCTTTTCTTCACTGGAGTCAGGCCTGTGCTTGCAGCTGATGTTAGTCATTAGGGTTCCCAGTTCCCAACTTCAGCTCCCCTCTCTTTCTTCCTCTTATCCTGCATTCTAATCAGCCTTTCTCCCACCCTCTGTTTTACACTCGATTAAAATATCTGCTGTGCAAACCTTGAAGCTTTTAATTCTGTGAAGCAGGCTGAAATTCTTTGAAAAGGCTTTTGAATGGTATGATATTATTAACTTAGAATGTTATCTACAAGAACTGCTTTCCCTGGGTGGACTAGTCCCGTCTGTTGTGGATTCAAATCCTTAAATTGTGGTATTTTCCTTCTATTCTTTATGATGAATCTGAAGTTCCCATCAAGTGGGTTTTATTGTCATCTCTTGATGATTGTTTCTTTTGATTCAGTCTTAGCCTAGTGGGAAATGACAGGAAGATTTTAACAGTGGAGAAGCTGGGTCTTCCTGACCTGTGTGATTGTCTGAGTCTGTTTATCTAACTTCTGTTTTCCATTATATTTTGTCTTCTTGCAGACACTACGGTGGTGCTTAAATCTGGGCATTCGGGAGGTTACTGTTTATGCCTTTAGTATTGAGAACTTTAAACGCTCCAAGGAGGAGGTGGATGGACTAATGGATCTGGCAAGACAGAAATTTAGCCGCCTACTGGAAGAACAGTAAGAGTCCTCTCATGTCTGTATCCCACAGGGTGGAACTAAAGCAGAACACGGTTAAGAGGTGTTTACAGGGACGTTACAAGTTGTGAAAATGGATGAAATGAAGGACGCTATTCTCCACCTCCAGCTAGAGATTTGTGTTGATTGGGTCTGCTTACCTGGATAGGATGTACAGCTCCTGAGCACGCCCAGTCCCCAAGCACACCAGATCTATGTCTGTAGCATATGGCTTACTGTGCAACAGTCCCACCCAAACAGTTGGGACAGTGCAGAGTGCAGCTTTCAGATAAGCACAGCACAATTAGAAATTCGTCCTTAGCATTAGAGTGCTAGATACCTTGCCTTAAATTCTGTCGCAGTATTCTTGAGAGATCAGAGTTTAGCTCGGGAACTTGCTTTGTGATAGCTTGAGACTTCTATGTATGGGCACATGGTGTGTTAAGTCACTTGTTGGAGCTGGAGAACTCGTTCATGTATTGTGCGTAGATGCAACAGTACGGATCTGAGCGAGCAGGGAATGGCGTTAGGGTGCCCTCTTGCTCAGTGGATATGTTTGTTTCCCCACACCTGAATCCTGGAGGGGATGCTTATCTGGTTGAAGTAACTTTGAAAGGCAGTGACAGAATGCAGCTAGAAGAATGGGATGGAGAGGATGGTGTGGGTGTGCTAGCAGAAGTTGGGAAAATCAAGGTAAAGAAGCCATTTCCCTGTTTTCTACCCAATGTGGACCTTCACCAGAAAGTTTGTAGCACCAGACAGCAGCAGGAACCTGTAAAATCCCATGGGACGTCCTGTCTGCTCAGAATAATGCTGTAGCAGGCATGGATGGTTTCCTATCTCATCTGATGTTCACTCCACCACCCCTGTCCCACCCTCACTGATGCGTTAATCTTTCCTTGCACCAGAAAGTAGTTGTGCTACTCTGTGGGCGGCCAGTAGTCATCTTAATTTTTGGTTAGTTATAGGTGCCCAGAGTCTGTGGTTGTATTCTAAGTTTTCCATATGGATTTTTGTAACTTCAGGTAGGAATGCCTAATCTGTGATCACTTTGTAGTCCTTTGATTTTGTCTATACCTTAGGAACTTGTGTGGGGAATGATCAGTTTCCCTTTATGGAATGGTTTGTGATGATGAAATCTAAGCCAGCTTTCAACACCTAAAAAACATTTGGTCATTTTGCCTTTTCCTAATTCTTGGTTTTGCTGAAGCTATGCCTGCTACCTGCCTGATGTTTTCATTTGGTGGATGTTACGTACGGCAAACATGGCACTTATGCAGTAGAGACTCATTTATTTTCTCTAGACCTCACTCTTGTTGTTGGGTGTAGGGAGAGCTTGAAGAAGCATGGTGTGTGCATCCGTGTCCTTGGGGACCTGCCCCTTCTGCCCTTGGATATTCAGGAGCTGATTGCCCAAGCTGTGCTGGCAACTAGGAACTATAACAAGTAAGTGACGCACAGTTCAAAGTAGCTGATACCTCATGTCTTCCTCTTCTACCTGATGGCTGAGACTTGGCAGACGTGCTGCTCCTTTTTTTTCCTCTTTGTCCTAGAGGCACACGTAACTGTTGTAGATACTCTTCTCTGTGTCATCTACTGGACCTTCCCTAGATTAGCCTTTCACATCTTTCTCCTCTTTTCAGATGCTTTCTAAATGTCTGCTTTGCATACACATCAAGACATGAAATCAGCAATGCTGTCAGGGAGATGGCATGGGGGGTGGAACAAGGACTGCTCGAACCCAGGTAACTCTTGTCTTTCTCTGTGAGGCTTCATAGATGAAGACTGCCTGTCTTACCTCCTACGCTTTATTAATAACCTCTCAGAAGCCAAATGGCTTTTAAATAGATCTCATTAAACCAGTATGACTGGAACAAATGACTTAAAGTTACTATGCAATGTTTGGTTTTTATTATTTCAGTTACCATGGGGATAGATACACAACCAAGACAGAAAAGAAATTAGGTCTGTGTCTTAAGTTAGCTTAAATGTGAAGGCAGATTTTGTGCCACAACAATTGGCTGCTTGGCTGGCAGTCTTAGCTATGAGGTCAAACAACAGATGACTCACAAGTACTGAACTGTTCCTCCACCCTGGAGGAGATGGAGTAGTTAGTGCTCTGCTCTCTGCTCCAGATGGAAGTCCTCACAGTCTGGTTCCACCACTGTATTATGTTTCAAAGAGCATGGCAGGGGGGAGATGCTCTGGGGGATGAAAGAGCATTTGAAATAGCCTGTGGAGCAGACAGCAGTGTCCATCAGAAGCAAGTTGATGACTGGCTGTGGTGCAGCTCCACCACCCAGTTTTAATCTGCAGTCCTGTGTTTATAAAAAAAAAAAAAAAACCTCACTAATTCTGATTTAGTAGTACCACCTCTGTTGGGACACGATCTTAATAAGATGCATCTGTCTTTCTTAGTGATGTGTCTGAATCGTTGCTTGATAAGTGTCTGTACACCAACAACTCCCCTGATCCAGACCTCCTGATTCGAACCTCTGGAGAGGTTCGGTTGAGTGATTTCTTGCTCTGGCAGGTAAAGTCTTTGTTTTCTCCTTGAAATATTCCATTTTTGCATCAGAGTATTATACTGACTCCAGGTGTGAGCTGACCTGAGGGCTTTTAAACTCTTTCTGCCAGGGGTTAGGTGACTTCTTGTATGGACTGAGTGCGGGGGCACCTCTGAGGAATCTGTGTTTTGCAGTTCTGTGATTGCCTAAAATACCTTGCAGCACAAGTCTGAAATTGTGTCCTCCTGAAAACACTTCATAAGAAATCACAAGTTAGTCTAGCTGACAGCAGTCAAGGAAATTATGAATTGCTCATCCTTTTGCTCCTCTTCTCATATTTGGGTGGTAACTCATTTGATTGGTAAATTCCTGGCTTTGATTAATTTAACCTGGCAATTTTTCTCCTGGGATGAGGAAATCCCAGGAAGGATTTCTAGATTCCTGGGAGAGGTGTTTGTCACATGTCAGCTGTAGGTATTAGAGGTGTAACCCTATAACGTACATGTAATGTACATGCCGGGCTTGTCACAGTTTCAGAAGTGTATTTGACTTTCATAATGAAACAAGACCCTGCAAGACAGGTTCTGAGCATGGCAGAGTCAAATCAGCATGACTAGACTGCTAAGCTAAGACATGGTTCGTTCTTAATGCATATAAAGTTCATATATTTGCAGTTACAGTATCCAAAGCTGCTTCCTTTTCTTTCTCCTGTGCTAGGCAATATTGACTTGTTTGTAAGCCAAACTTTGCAGGAGAACATTTGAGTCAAGCTGCTTTACTTAAAGCTAATATTTCCTTTTATATGTACAATTTGGAGCCAAAACCCAATTGCCTTTAAGCAACCACATCAAACGTTCCTATTCCAACTTATTTAACTGGCAAGTTCACAGAAGTTGTCTGGCCTGAGTTGTGGTTGCCTACCAAGGCATCTCCCTCTCCTCCCTGTATTTTTGGGCACACCTGTACCCTGGATGGGTGTCAAAGCTGCAAACTAACATTTTGCTTGCTCCTTTTGATGGTAGTCCTGGCAGAGGTGCCATGGACACTGAACTTGTAACTGGTGAAGCGTTACTGAGGAAGTCAGTGCTCTGTGAGTCTGGCTGGCGTGATGCCCCTCTGCTGTGCCATGAATTACAGCAGAAGCAGCAGAGGAGAATGTGTGCTTGTGCTCCCACTGTGCTAGCTCACGCACCAGGGTGTTAGTGCAGATTTCCCTTCGCTAGCAATGGTGTGATATCCTGACAGCCTCAAAGTAGGAGGACATTGTGCTATTCAGGATGATTCTCTGGTGTCAAAGAAAATGTCCTTATGGTGGTTTTTGTATAGAGTTGACACTAAGATTTTTATATCATTACAACTTTGAGTCATGCAGAGTCCTTTTAAGTGTTAGATTTTGTGGTTATGATCATAGGAACACATTTACCTGAAACTTTGAGAGACTTGATGGCAAAAATAGGTTTAAACCTGAAATCTTGCATCTTTCAACTCCAGGATATTTTCACTGCACCGCAACTCTTGGATTCATTAAGCACTTTAAATGCCATGAGTGGGCAGCAAAGAATATCACGAGATGTCATTTGATGAATGGCTTAAATGTCATGTCCTGATCCTCAGTTCATCTGTTATTCCCTTAACTCAGCCTTTGGTAGTCCAGTGTTGCTATTTTAGTTTTATTATATGTCCATGATGCTTAAGCTATTAAAAATACCTCTGTGAAGACCAACATAGCATTAGAAAGAATTCTGCTAGTATCTTTGCAGGAATGGATGACTAGTGTCCCAGCATTAAAAACTAATTAGAAAAACTCTACATTGTGCAATTTCAAATGCTCGTGGCTGGCATTTGTTTCATTTTAAGTAGAACTGGGTAACACAGCCTAGGTAAAATCTTTGTGGGGAAAGTGGCATCGTTTGACCAACAGAGCTGCATCTTGATGACTTTTCCCTTGGTAGGTGATTAAGTTGTTGGTGATCTTGCTTTCTGCAGACATCCCATTCGTGCCTGGTGTTTCAGTCAGTCTTGTGGCCAGAATATTCCTTTTGGAACTTGTGTGAGGCTATCCTTCGGTTCCAGATGAACTACAATGCTTTACAGGTAAGGGAGCCTTAGGGAGATGGAAAGCTCAACACAGCATGTTATCTGTACAGCAACGTGGTGGAGATCAGGTGAGAGTGTGCAAAGTGGGAATAGAGGAATTGTTCATTTAGTGCCGTTAGTTAAAATCTTGTTTCAGTAGCAGCCGCTGCCAGATGTGTTGCTTCCCCTGTATTTATGTGGCTTGTTACAACATCTTAGCATGCGGCCAGACTCCTCTACTTTCAGGAATATCTGAAGTATCTGAAATCATCACTGTCTCTATTGCTTGTTGCTCATTCCACCAGCTGGAAGTATCTGTCCACGCTTCTCAGCTGACAGGACAGAACAAGTAAGCTCTCCTGATTTGCTACAGGGCAAAATCAGCCAGGTTAACTCAAAGCACTTCATCAGTAGTTTAAGCAAAGACTGCTGAGTTCACTCTGGAGTGAGCGAGGAGAATTTGCATGCTCTTCCTCTAACTCTGCTATTGTTTTTAGGGTTGTAACAAGTGGGTTTACAGTTTCCTTTCTGGGAGCTGAAGTGAGGCTGTGAGACACTGGACAAGTGTCCTCTTGTGGGTCCAGATGTGCCTACAGAAGAGATTGTTCCTATTGCTGGTTGTCATTGTTCCTCTCTCCTTAGATCTGCTGTTATGAGCTCCCCCTGACCTGGTTCAGATAAATCTGGCCAATTTAGTAGTGACTTAGTAAACTGGCTATTTTTAAGCAAAACAAGTTTGGGAGCTGGAGCTCTTGGTGAGGAAGTCTGGTGGGGAGCAGCTTGTAGCACAGAGACAGCAGTAACTGGCAGGAGGAGGAACTTGGTGCGGTGATTCTTACCTCCACCATATCTGATGGCTGAGTGTGTCCCTGAATTATTTGGGTCCTTTGTTTTTAAAGACAGGCATTATATTGCCCTTTTCTACCTTCAGGGGCCTTGTGCACCTCTGAGAGTTGTCAAAGAGATTATAGATGGTCATGCTTCTGGGTGAATTTAATCAGGTCCAGTCAGTCTGGAAGGATCCAAATTCTTCAAGTCCTTAACCTCTTTTATTCCTGTTTCTGCCCCAAGTCTGCCCTTTTCCAACCAGCAATTCATTGTATTAATACAACTAATGGCAATTCACCTTCTGCATGAAGAGGAAAGCAAAAAAGGCAGTAGTGTTTGTCATTGACATTAGCTTTGCCTCTGTCTTGAACAGTAAGGTCACTGTTCTGATTTGCTCCTAGTGCTAATTTCTGATGGGTAACAAATGCTTCTTCTGTTCCTAGCTAGTCTCATCTTTCTTAGTTCTTGTTTGTGGCTCTGTGTGTGTTCATGCTATGCTATTATTAATGTTTCTTATCAGCCAGATTTGTTCCTTGGTTAGTTTTCTTGCTGTGAAACCCACTTTGTCTGCAGTGTATGAGGCTGCCCTTGTTTTAAGGGCGCAGCCCAGTTGTGCAGAAGGGAGGACTTCTCACTCAAAGGAACTGCTGAGATTAAGAACCTTTTTTTTTTTTTTTTTTTTTTTTTTTTTTCCACATTTGAAATAGGGGCTCTTGAAAGCCAAACATATCCGAAGCTCTTTAAACAAATTACCTTGCTGGAAGGGAAGCTTGTCAGTGAGAATGGTGGAAGTGGTCACACTGGGTCTTTTCTGGTGAATAGACAGAATTACATTTTGTCCAAGGGTGGAAGTCTTACACTGAACAAGCTGATGATCTTTGAGTTTCAGATAAGCAGAGCTACAGCAGTGGAGTGCTATCAATTCAGTGGGCTTTCTGTAGCTACGGATTCGTTCCCAGCACAACAA